CCAAACCTTTTTGGCGAGTCTGCATCTCGTTGGGGGCGTCCTTATTTCCCGCCGTCAGAACGAAACGCTTCCCGAGCAGCCCGTCGGGCAGAGCCCCCCCCGCCACCCGCCGCAGTGTCTCCCAGCCCCTTCCCCCCAGGTGTGCTGCCTCATCTGAACCCCCGGGCACGGAGAAACCCCGTTCATGCTTTAGGTACAATCACCTTCCAGCTGCCCGAGCTGAACACGTTACAATCGTCCCTCGTGTACCTTGACCCGCGGCTTCACCCCGCGCCCGGCACCTGCGGGTTTCCCAGCGCCCTCCCCGGCCCAGCGCCCAGCCCGGCCTCCCCAGCCCCGCTCTCACCCTAAACCGGTTTGCAAACGAGCACGATCAAGCTCTGGGGGAAAGAGGCAGCTGAGAGATTTTTATCCTCCTGGCCCTGCAGTTGCACGGCGAGGAGGAGTGTCCCCAGTCCTGCTGCCTTGCAGAAACGCCAGCGACGTAATGTCCTTGTTATTCCCACACTGTCCCCGGGGAACACGCCGCCCTCCCCAGGGCTGTGCGGGTGTTTGGGGACAGAGGAGCCTGACCCCACCACCAGGCCCTGCTCCAGTGGTTGCTCCTGGTGCCCCTTTGCACCACGTCCCGTGGGGCTGTGGCAGGAACACTGGGCAATGCCAGCTGGGGGACAGTCCACCCCAGTCCCCGCTTGTCCCCACACGCAGCACAGTGTGTGGCTACACCTCTTCCCTGGCACAGCCATGGGGCAGCAGCATGCCAAGCCCCCAGACACAGGGAACATGCACCTGTGGGGCTGAGCTCACTGCTACCATAGCTCAGGAGATAGGAAGCCCAAATCATTGAGTCACAGAATCCCAGTCTGGTTTGAGCTAAAAAGGAATCTTAAAAACCATCCAGTCCCTCCCCCTGCATGGGCAGGGACACCTCCCACCAGCCCAGGTTGCTCCAAGCCCCATCCAACCTGCCCTTCAACACTGCCAGGGATGGGGCAGCCACAGCTTCTCTGGGCAACCTGGGCCAGGGTCTCTCCACCCTCACAGCCCAGAATTTCTTCCCAATGTCTAACCCAAATCTCTCCTCTTCCAGTTTAAAGTGGGCACATCAGGCTGCAAGCAGGGCTGCAGACAAGATGGGGTGTTGGTAGCACAAAGGGGGTCCCGAAGGGTCCCCCCCAAAGACACCCATGAGGGCAGCTCTCTGGGTCTCACCTCCCCCATGACTGCAGCTGATCTCCCTTGAACCAAACTCACTTTTTTAATGTCCTGCAGCCCTCAGTTGGTCACCAATCACCTCCCGCCCATGAATTCAGTTGGCAAAGCTGGGCTGCAGGTGGTGCCGCGCAGGGACAGCAGGTGACACAGTGCCCACCAAACCGCAGTCAGGACACGGCTTTGGCATTACCCTGGCACAGCACCCGCTGCTCCCCTGACCTGAAGGGCTGCGGGGGGCGATGGGGACAGCTGGGATGCTCCCTGTGCTGACAGAGCCATTCCTGACCTTTCC